GTGGGATGGAAGTAACATAAAAGATCAGATACAGCTGTTTTGAGAGAGGTTGTTCTACAAATAAAAGCGTCCAAAGTGCAAAAACGTATTGCGCAGCTTTCTGCGCATCCCTGGTGGCCCTACTTGACTACTTGCGGGTTCATGCCAAGTAGTAATACGAGCTGCAGTGGAGGAAAGAACGGCGGACAATAATAAAATACGCGAGGATGTAGCTCAGTTAATTTATTTACACTTGGACAGGCATGAATTTTTTTCGGTATTTCACTGTTAAGAAAACAAGTCTCCCCCTGCCCGCTGAGAGGCTCTCTTGCTTATATATTAAGTGGTGTGTTAATATGAATGCAATATGTAAAGAGGGCTTGTGGAAAAATGCGTCTCGCGACAAAATTTCTTTTACACCGCGGGAAAAAAAACTGGGTTCGGAACCTTCTTTAGGTTAAGTTTTGTCGGCGAAAAAAGCTCGATTCCCCACGAAATCAATACAGCAGTTTCTCCGTAGTGACGAGAAAATAGTGCTGCTTACCGGGAGAATTGGGAAAGCATATAAAGTTTGCAACTTGTTTTTGTTTACATGATCGTCGAAATTCCACCATTTTTTCAAACTTGGATCCTGGCGCGCGGCCAATACTTGCGCATGCTCATAACGTTTTTCCGCTCTGACATGGAAGCGTATAAGCATACCCGGCCATGTCGAAAGATATTGGCAGTGGTGGTTCACGGTTGCTGCGATGCAAGGAAACAACAAAATGCTTCCCCTTCTCTCTTGCGGAAACAAGCCATTCGGTATTGTAACGTTCGTTTTTACGCTTTTGTGCGACAACCAATTTCGAAGCAGCTGTACATGCTTTGCAGAGGAAAACCTTTGGCTAAACAGAATTGGTAGAAAATGTAAAATGAGTATTTCTCGCTTACGTCCATTGGGGACTTCGTTTGCGAGAAAGAAAAACGTAAATTCGTTTATTTTAGATGACTGAGGTCACATTTGCACGAATTCAGCACAACTTAGTTTTCTCTTTGCCCTGACGAAGGGCTTACACTCGAGAAGTTAG